ATGGAAAGAGACATTTTTGGGGAGATTTCCTGTCCCTTCATAACAGAAGAAGACAATGCATTCATGGGTTTTAAAGTGGTTTTGTCAAAGAAGACAGTTATTATCCTTGCCAAATGTTGAAGGGTTTGCACCCAAATAAATATGCTAAGGAATTATTATTATTATTATTATTATTATTATTATTATTATTATTATTATTGATTTGTTCTTTCCTTGCATTTTAAAACTTGCCAGTAATCACATGCAACCTACAAATTTAAAATACCACTCAGAAAGTGCAATAATCACAGTGAAATACAGCCTTAAGGAACAGTCATTTGTTTCTTTTGGGAATTACATATGCAATTTTCTGACTTTGCCAAATGGTTTGGGGCTCAAATATTATATGGAGTCCTCTAACTACAGCTCAAAAATATTTGGGCAGAAAAATCCAAAAACAAACCTTGATTTTGCTGCATGCCAAGCATTATGCTGATGAATAGGCGTACCCTGCTGTAGCCTTCCAGCCTTTCACAGATCCTCAGGTCTCTCCAGCATTTGTTTTGAGTAGTTCGCCATTCTACATAAGGGATGTCATTTTACTATTGTATATAATGTGACTTGAGCATCTATAGATTTCAGTATCCATGACAATCCTGGAAACAAACCCCAGTGAATACCAAGGGCCCATTGAATTTCTTCTTGTATTTTTTCAAGCCCCATAAAAATCAAGAGCCTTGGGGACTCCTATGTAGGTATTAAAAGGTATTATACAATACTTTTGAGGGAACCAAGAGAATGACACCAGTGCCCGCCTTATATAAATATATGATGCAGGACTATATAGTACAGCAGAAGTATCAGTGGGTCTGGTTGCAGAAAAACCAATTCAGATCCCTGATGAGGACCAAAATGAATATGAATAGACAGGTGATAGAGTATCAGTTCTCCTGGCTCTTTAAAAAAATTAAACCAGTATCATCGTGGAAGGGAACATTTTAATCCTCTTCCTCGGGTAATTTCCCCGGTCTAAATGCTGCTACTTAGGCAACTGTAATTTTCCTTCATTAGATGCTATTTTCCAGGTGTTTTATCTTGTCATCCTTTCAGTGTCACACTGTTCAAAGTAAATCATATAAATGTAAAACTTAATCTGCATATGTGGCCCAAACCACAAACCAAAATTCTTTATCCCAGGCAGACCTGCAATTTCTCCCCATCTAATGGACAAGGGCTTTACAAAAAAGAAAACTCGAATTTGGGAAAATAATGCATGGAAAAATAATTAAGTTCTCATTTCTGATTAAAATTGGAACATTTTGTAGTACTTGAAAAGTTCTGAAAGCAATCAAAAGTTACATACACCATCAGGAGATCCATTGGTGAGGGGGCTTTGTAGAAGAAGCTTGCTTAAACAGGGAAACCATTATTTCTCAGGCTAAAAACAAAATTGTTTGAATCCACGTTCCTGCTCTGAGCTCCTTGTATAAGAGTGGATGAGTATCAGGTGGCGTGATGGAAGGAAGGTTTGGACCATGATGCAGTGGCATCACTATGGAGGTCACCAACCTCATACAGGGAAGGGAAACAGCCCTGTCTCCAGTAAATAATGCTCCTCATAAACCCAGGGAGCCCATCTAATGGCATACTACCTTATTTCCCACAGAGTAGACAGAAGACAGCTGTAACGACAGAAAGGCTAACTTTTATTGTCGAGCTAAAGCTTTACCATTTGTCTGGTTGAGCTGCCTGCAATAATTGTAGTAAACAAATGTTTTAAAATATGTTTCTTTATTTCTTATTGTAAATTTGTTTTTATAGGTTATTGTTTTACATATACATATTGCTGTTGATGCTGCTACAGTGATGACTACAGTGATGATGTGTGGACCTTACAGCACTGCTCAACTTGTAGTTGATTGCTCTTGGCTGGCTGGCCGACTGGTCAAAAAAGGGAAATAATGCAATATGCTGGGCATCAGATTCCTGGAAGTGGGATAATTTGATTTGTGTCGACATATAATTTATTATATTGATAATATGATAGCAGTACATGTGAAAGAGATCTTGGAGTCCTCGTGGGCAACAAGTTAAACATGTGCAAACAATGTCATGTGTGGCTAAAAAAGCTAATGGGATTTTGGCCTATATAAATAAGAGTCTAGTGTCTAGATCCAGAGAAGTCATGCTACCCCTCTATTCTGCCTTGGCCAGACCACACCTGGAATACTGTGTCCAGTTCTGGGCACTGCAGTTTAAGGGAGATGTTAACAAGCTAGAATGTGTCCAGAGAAGGGTGACTCAAAGGATCAAGAGTCTGGAGAACAAGCCCTATGAGGAGCGGCTTAAAGAGCTGGGCATGGTTAGCCTGCAGAAGAGAAGGCTGAGAGGAGATATGATGGTCATGTATAAATATGTGAGGGAAGTCATAGGGAGGAGGGAGCAAGCTTGTTTTCTGCTGCCCTGGAGACTAGGATAGCTTCAAAGTACAAGAAAGGAGATTCCACCTGAACATGAGGAAGAACTTCCTGACTGTGAAAGCTGTTCAGCAGTGGAACTCTCTGCCCTGGAGTGTGGTGGAGGCTCCTTCTTTGGAGGCTGGATGACCATCTGTCGGGGGTACTTTGAATGTGATTTTCCTACTTCTTGGCAGGGAGTTAGACGGGATGGCCCACAAGGTATCTTCCAATTCTATGAGTCTATGATTCTATAGTTCACAGAATTTGCTGGTATCAAAGAAAAAACGTTGTTGCCCACAAGAAACAAGGCTAGGCACTCAGTATGCATGGATCACTAAGAACCGAACAATCACAAGCCGAGCAGCACCCACATTCCATAGAGCCAATCACTGAACTGCACATGAATGTGGACCTCACAACAACCTAACCCAACAAACAAAAGATTGTTACACATTTACGCAAACAAATTTCTGTGATGTGACTTCTTGTTTTCCCTTTTTTAAATGTTCATAGCTCACCACTGCATGACTTGGAGGAGTGTGTGCGTCTCAGGACATTTCATGGGGCAGCACATTCATTCAAGCAGTTTGCAATTTTTTTCCACCTATTTGTGTGTATGTTTGCCAATTATTTCGTTGCCTGGAATGATGGATGTACTAACAAATATGTTTGCTGCATTTACACTTTACGGAGCATTGTTATAGGTGGTAGAACATATTAATCTTGCTCTTTTATCACAAGGGTGAAATGCTTGTCTGGGTGGCTGCATATATATTTTGTCTTTTAAAGTGATCAAAAAGATAGACAGCTAAAGCAGGCAGAGGTGTCACTCATTTGTTGCAGGTTTAATTGTCATATCTGCCTGATAGAGAGAGAAGATTCCCTTGGTACAAATCAAGGCAGCTCCACTGAAATGAGCAGAAATCTAAGTGGGCCTTTAACCTGCATTGCTAATTATTGTTCTCTATATTCCTGTCTGGCTGCACATCAGAATTCCTCTGAAGCAAATTATTTGTCAGGGAACACAACTGAGAAAGGCTGAATATTCTTTTGGTCATTCTGGTAATCATCCATGCATAGAATGCTGTAATCAAATGTAAAGTTATTCTATTTTTATTTTGTATCTTGTCACTCAAACCCTGTTTCTGAATGACACAGAATGAAAAGAGGGCAATTTTACATTTGCAAGAAATATATCCTACATGGAATGAACAGGAGCAACATACCATTGCTCTTTTGTACTTTTCTCGTCAATTTCAGTGAAGCCTTCCCAATAGATGTCCAAAGTGTAAATGAAAGTACACATCCTCTTCAGGATATCTTATAAATGAGACTCAATACGACTCTTGTTTAAATCAAATTGGTCATGTTTGTAAAATGCACACTGGTCTTCATTTTTATATCATGAATGTATCTCTTCCACAATTTCTGCCACATTTGCTATAATTAGACATTCACGCTGTGCTCAAAAGAGCTTTTGTGTATGTGCAGAAATAATTCTGCAAGTTCCAGGGTGCTCATTTGCATTACAAATACAAATAGAACTTGTGTGCATTTTGTTATATGGTTAAGCATTGTTCATACACCAGAGATAACACGAAGGAGACAGACATTTATAATGTGAATTACTGATTGTGTGAGTATGATATTGTCATGCTTTGCAACTCTGATGGAAGCAAAATCTGCTTCAAGCCTCATTATGTGTGTATTTAATAATAAAGTGACATGAAAATGATGGTTTTCAATTACCATCAAAGTGTGCCCTGTTAATGCTCTTGAGGGGGACAGCAGCAATACAAGGCACCCGATTCAACTTACCTTTATCCTTAAAAAGCCATTAGCATTTGATTGAAAATTAACTAATAGCTGGAATAAGAAGCTGGCATGTTCAGCTGAGTAACACAAGAAGAGCTAAATCCAGTGTTAAACCATTCTGGAGTAGACCCACTGAAATAAGCAGGAGTATCTTTGTCCTTGTGTAGCAGGATCTGGGTTTTTAACGTTTGTGCTATTATGGCAAGAATCCTGATATGCAGCTATGAATAAGCTATGCACATGATTGTTTCATATTCGTGACCCTATGAAGCCCCTAAGTTAGGGGACACGTAGTGACCACGAAAGTCTCCCAATCCTTATATACCAGGCAGCAGCAGTTGTGATTGATGGAAGGGTCTGTTCCCCTGTCAATTAGGAAAAAGATCAGAAAATTTCATATGAGTTGGCAGAACTCTTATTTGCAGGGAATTGTCCTCATCTTTTGTATCCCCCTCATATTATCCTGGCCAGACAACCGCAGTTTACATTTGTGACGTTCCTGTATTTTCCCACTGCTTTTTCTACCCCAAACACCCCCACATACACTATTCTGGAAGTCCCCTTGAAGTGTATAAGAAATGGAGAGTCAACTTTGCCCAAATCTTAAAATGAAGCATAGGTGTAAGGTCCTCCTGCAGATCTTATCTGAAGTGACGGGGGAGAAGTGTGGGCAGATCCTGGTAAGAATTAAAGTTCAGCTCATGGATTTTTCACTGGATTCATTTTGTTGGATTACTTTCTTTGCAGGAGTCATTTGTAGCAGCAAAGAAATGAAAAGCCCTGAAGGTTAGTACTGTATTTCCCTACTAGTGGGTTTACTGAAATGAAGTGAAATGATGTCTTCGGGCAGCAGATATTGTGGAGGGGCGGAATGATTATTCCTGAGATCTCTCTTCTGTCCAGACTGGCCATATCTTCTATTAGAGGACAAATTAATGCATCCTATATCACTTAACCATACACGTATCTTCAGATGCCATAGGGGACGGTGAACTGAGTTGAAATACAATTTGACTCTCCCAGTCTGCTTCTATATATGGAATAAGGATGCCTTTGGTGGCAAACTGTCTCAGGCCCTCCCTCATGAAGATTGTAATCCTTAGCATAGTTACTTGGGAATGAGCATCATAGAAACACAGCAGAACTTGTCTCTGAGAAAATAGATATTAGCTTTTTGTTTCATGGGTCAAATTGTAATTGTTTATTCTTGGCAAGATGGATGAGTAGTTTGATCACATTTTCTCTGGTAACTATCCTGTGGTTTGATGGAGTTAGCATTTCATTCTGCCTTGCGTGGGAGAAGAAACAGATACAATGTCTTCAAGACAAATAATTATATTTTTTGTGTATACATAAAAAAGTAAAGGTTTCCCCTTGACTTTAAGTCTAGTCAAGTCTGACTGGGGATTGGTGCTCATCTCCATTTCTAAGCCAGAGAGCCGGCGCTATCCATAGATGTCTCCAAGGTCCTGTGGCCGGCATGACTGCATGGAGCGCTGTTACCTTTTTGCTGAAGAGGTACCTATTGATCTACTTAAATTTGCATGTTTTTGATCTGCTAGGTTGGCAGAAGCTGGGGCTAACAGCAGGAGCTCACCCTGCTCCCCAGATTCAAACCATTGACCTTTCGGTCAGGAAGTTCAGCAGGTCAGCCGTTTAACCCACTGTGCCACCAGGGGTTCAGCTGTGTATACATACATACACCCCAATAAGGGTTGAGCATCCCTTATCTAGAATTCCAAAATACTTCCAAATTTCAAATTGTCCATGGAATAGCTAAGATAGTGACACCTTTGCTTTCCGATGTTCACAAACTTTGTTTCATGCGCAAAATTATGTAAAGTATCGTGTATAAAATTACCTCCAGGCAATTGTGCTTAGACTTGGATTCAATCTCCAGGATGTCTCATTATGTACAGATATCCATTTTCAGGGGTTCCACAATCTGAAAATATCCAAAATTTGTTTGATCCCAAGCATTTCAAATAAGGGATGCTCAACCTGTGTTATTAATATCTACTGTTTTAGTGTCTTCATGTAAGAGATCCTCTTGAAAAGTGGCATAGAAATATATCAAAATATGTAATTAATATATCATGTTTATGTTTCTTAATAAGGCAATACATAAGCCAGCCCAGGTGAAACACATTTAAATCCCATTTATTCTCATTTACTGGAATAAATGGGATTTAAAATAAGAGATTACAAAAGAGGGAACAGCTTTTCTGCCACTTGGATTCTGGAAACTGTAATCTTAAAAGGAAAAACTATTCTGTGTTCCTTAGGATTCCATCTTGTAGGTTTTTAAAATCTGTTTTGCCAACAGCGCGGAATGTGAGACTTGATGGGACTGGCTCCAGATGTTCTGGGTGGCTGAAGGTGCTTCACGAAGGCAAATGGAAGAGAATTTCTAGCTTACATTGGTCACCACAGAGTACAGAACAAGCCTGTCAACAACTTCACTGTGGTGTCCCCTTGGGAACCCTGACACCATTTTCTAAAGAACCAGAAAAGCAAGAAGTTTGCCTGGAGTGCCAAGCAAATGCAACCTTCAAGAACTGCATATGGACCGAATCCAACTGCACTCAGCTTCAGGGTGTGGCCCTGGTTTGCCAAGGTAGATGCAAACTGCCTTCCTGTTTTGTATTGTCTCTTTGGGTTAGGCAGCCATGGCATTTAAGAGCACTGGGTCCTGTGTGCTTTGAAAGCACTTTGTACTTTGCGTACAAAGTGTGACATTTTTCTCTTCTTGGGTACAATCAGGAAAACAAATCCTGCAAACATTTGGTGTGGTTTGATTCAAATCAGAGGGGAAATCTAGATTTCAAAGGCTGCTATTGGTTCTTGCTTTAAGCATTTTTTTCATGCTTACTCCTGTCCTATTCCTGGAATAAGGTTGTGTTAGGCTTACTAGATCTCAGGGCTTTATGATTTTACTCCAGTCCTCAGACCATCTTAGGATGAGAGCACTGTCTTGAAAAGTATGTCTATTATTTCCTCATTTGTTAGACTGACATCCTGTTCAATAATACAGTAATAATAATACATATTTTTTATTGATTAGCCCTTAGGCCATATCACCATACTGAACCAAACTAAGCTTGATGCAACTTAATAAAACTCTATATAGTAAGTTAAATAAGACATGTATAATTACACAGTAAATAAATGTGTTCAATAATTATAATGTTTTAATCCTAACTTATTATAATTCATGTTGTAGTCATTGCAATATATTATTATGACCAATTTTAGTCAAACCACAAGTTGTGTTATGTAATATAATGCAATCTATGTGTTTTAGGAAATACAACTAATTTTGCATTTTCCTTCTTAATGCATTAAATGGAATTATATTTGTATTTTTTAGTGTAGCCTCTGAAGAGGGCCAACTATGAAAGTGGCTGAAACATGTTGTGCTTTTAAAAATAAATAAAGCAAGTTGTCATCTGTCAGCATATGAAACGTCCCCCCCCCCCCCAATTTAACTTTGCATATATGTTCATCAATTCTCTCTTTGGACAATATGCTATTGCAATGACCAAAAGTATGTGGAAGACTCTTCCGTTGCAGCCTTACAACCCCCACATCCCCACCCAAACACCACCATTTTTGAGGCATTGGTTAGCAGGCTGGTGAATAATGCATCCAGCGTTTTCCTGTTTCGGAGAAGACTAAGATAGACAGCTGTGACAGGATCCTGACAGGACCTCACAGGAGTCTCTGCAGCTGTCTGTCTTAGTGCGCCCCATGACCGAGAGAGGGCTAGGCATATCATTAGTCACATGCACACACACATCCTGGAAATGGCTGTGTTGGCAGGGGAACGGTGATGCTTCAGAGCTTGGATTTTGGAGAATAGCATTGAGAGATATTTTAGCCTCGTATCCATAGCTACATCTCCAAGTGCAAGATGTTTCTTTGAGCGGTATACTCCATGCAATTCTGGTTGATACTTATCAGGGCCCAACCCATCCTGTGCCATCACAAGGGGTTGACTAAGTCTCAAGCTTCAAATCTGTGAGATCTGGCTGCCCCAGTTATGGCCAAACACATAGGAAGAAGCAACCCTGCTAAAGCTAAGCAATGCTTAGATAGGAGATTACATGGAAGCTTTATTTATGTATACTCATTTGAATCATAGATAAAAGCAATGTGGATAATAAATATGTAATAAACAAGGTGTGTATTAAGTACAAGGAATAACATTTAAATCTTTTTTTAAAATGTGAACCAGATAGGAAGAAGCAATTTTGCTATCTATCAGTCATACATGAATAAGCAGGACCACTGTTCAAACTGTACAGCTATCTCTTTTATTGTTTCCTTGGGCTGGACTCATCTTTTCCAAAATGACATGGCCTTGGCTTTGCATTTGTAATTTCAGAACCTATACAGATGTCCACTGTACAACCAGAACCAACAACAACAACACTCAAGACTACTTCAAACCCCACTGGTAAGAAAACTATGAAGTGGATTGATTAAACCAAGGAAGCCTTGGGACTGAGTTTGCAAGACCTGGGCTGGGAAATAGGTGACTTTGTCGATCTTTCATTCATACAGTTGTCATACATGACTGCAAATAACAAGAAAACAAAATTCTGTAAAGATTGGCTGCTACAGCTACTAATTAATACTGTATAAACCACTGTAGTAATTGTGGTAAAAATATAGACTGTAATTCAAGGTAGGTCTTCCACTAATAGATTGATTACCCAGCAGTATGGTTGCTGTTCATAAATAAATGTGAGAGTGGTTCAGAAGGAACATTTTAACATTATAGACTTTTGTACCTGCTCCCAGTGCCCAAAGAAGCTTTGGAGGCACAGTTGGGAACTTCAACGGGAAGAGGACTTAATGAAAATCACCTCTGTTCATGGAGTCCCTTCATCCAGTTCATAATTTCTGTGGGAGAGTGACAAATTAATTTGGCATCTTGTGCAGATAAAAAAGGAGGAAATAATCTTTATGCCTGTAGAAAGCAAAACTAGCAAAGTTTGAGGAGTTATTATCATGAGAACTCAAATTTTGTAAACTAATATGCAAAAGCCCTGAGGCAGACATTTGGCCTTTACTTATGTGGACTATAAAAAGGAAGGGATAATGCCCACTCTATTACATGAGAGATCCCATTTTAGTACACCATCGTGTGTAATTGGTTTTGAGCACTGATGAATCTTGGTATTCATGGGCATGGAACTGATCTAGAATTGTCCACTGTATTGTCTTCCAATGCAAATATGATGCCTAGGGTCTTGGGTGGAATCATTTTCCCTGCAACCCTTTTTCTCTTTGACCTTTTTTACCCACTGCAGGGTTATTCAGGATCTTGATGTGACATTGGGGGCTGTGCAGTGATGGTTTGAGTGTGGAGGGATGGGTGTGTTGTTTTTGTGATCTGTGCTGGGGAAAACATTTAATTTCTTTGTATAATGTACGATAACAATAAAGTTATTCTATCCTATTCTATTGTTCCAGGGAAATGGCAATACAGTGAACACAGCACAATTCTCTGTGTGTTTAAGTCCCAAACAAAAATGTTGATAGGATTGCAGTCTTAGCAAATCATAAGACATTTTCCTAAGTAAAGTATATACATTGTCTCAGTAAATTTTAGAAGAGAACTGTAAGATTACTGTAATCAGTATAATTACTCCTAATTATAACCCGTTATACAGGCTAGTTGGTTCTAAGGCTGTCAACAATTGTAATACTATTTTTTATTCCAGAGCACCTGCAATGAAGACAGTGGCTTTCCTAAGGCTACCAAATGTGTCTATGTGAAAAGTTCACATTTGAATTGGGGATATGCAGCTCACTCCTCATAACAGTAACTTCTGTCATGCTACATTCTCCTTTGCACACTTTCTCATGTCTTTCTCTCACAGATGCTCCAGTAATAAGGCTAGAAGATGGAACTGCATTGTGCTCTGGGGCTGTGGAGCTGGACTTTGGAGGTCGCTGGGAGATGGTTTGCCTGGGCCTACAGGGACTATGGAAGGAGCTGGCACCCAGGGTCTGCCAAGGGAAAGGCTGTGGAGATGCAACAGGACCCAAGAAGCTAGACAACAACAAGCCCTTGCTTGCCCACTGGGAGAAAGTGCAGTGTGAGAGGAAGAACTTTAGTTTGGACTGTTTGGACAAGACTAAGGCATGTTTCACCTTGGTGAAATGCTCAGGTGAGGCAGACCGATGAAGAGAGCATGCCTCGAGCTCTGTTCTTCTTTCCTCCCATCACTGGTGGTATGCATATATACAATTTTCTTAGTATTTTAAGCACAGAAGTACAATAACACCATGCTTCTTCTTTAGATGCCATGGTTCTATCCTATGGAATCCTAAGATTTGCAATTTATGGAGATGCTTTAAGAATCATCTGTCAGGGAGTGCCTCTAATGGTGTAGAATAAATTGCCCTACAATGTATAAGATATAAAAATGGATGTAATGCCATTTTGTTGCCAAAATGCTTAGTGGAAAGTGTTTGTGGGTTGCCAGAGAGGCAATACCATTTATCTGAAGGTGAGAACAGTAAGGCACCAAGATTGTAAGGGTTGCAAAAGAGTATCAGCTATTTATTTTGTTGAGTTCGCTTTTTTGCCGGGAAGTTTATATCACAGCAATAGTGTTGGAATTGTTACTATGTTGTGATTGTAAATGCAAAACTGTTATCTCTGTAACTATTGTGACACAATTGCCACAGCTATAAAAACAAATGCGATTACTCTATGGTTATTACTTACATACTTAGTGTGCATCTATACTGTTGAATTAATGCAATTTGACACTTTTAACAGCCAGGGCTCAATGCTATGAAGCTGTAGTTTTACAAGATCTTTGGACTGTTCTGCCAAAGAGTGCTGGTGCCTCACAAAACTACACTTCCCATGCCTGAGGTAGGGAGAACTACTTGAAGGATTTTGTGCCTCCTGTGTAAAAATAATTTGGCTGGCTTTGTGTTGTATTCACTGTGACTCATCTAGAATGGTGCCTTGTGCTACTCTGTCTAAGACAGCAAAATGTCTTGGGCCAGCCCTGTTGAGTAATATAATTTCTATTCTCACCTTCTGTCTCCAGGCCAAGATTTGAAGAGCAATGCTTCTAGTACAGAAACCATCCTGGGAATTCTGCTGGGTCTTGTCCTCACTACATTCCTTCTGGTTACTTGTGTACTCCCTATCTATAAGAAAATAATGAAGAAATGTAAGTGGCATCTTCTTGATGTGGGCTAGACTAGAAATGCCCTCTTTGTAGAACTAAGCTTAGAGCCATGGAATCATAGAGTTGGAAGAGGGCCTTCCAGTCCAATTCCCTACCATGCAACTAGTCATGGTGGTCTCAAAATGAACCATATCTGTATGACATGGCAGGGCACCACGCAGATAGGAGGGGAATGTGTTTGACAGTGTGATTTGCCTAATTCGTTGTTGTGTGCCTTCACATCTTATCTGATTTAGGGCGACCCTCTTATGGGGATTTCTGAAGCCAAGAGTGTGTGACTTGTCAAGCAAGAATTTAAAACCTGTATCTCAAAGTCATCGTTCAGTGTTTACACCACTACCCCACACTGACTGGCCTAATACTACCTACTAATTCAGAGATTTGCAGTAAAGACTTCATCATTCACAGGGAAGACATTATAAAGCTACAGTAACTATACATACTGAAGTGTTTCTAGATAGAGGTTTCATTGTTCAATTACTTTGCCCCATTCATGTACAGAGAATTAATGTATGGGAAATTCCTGTTTCTGTGTATAACTTTCAATGGGTATCAAAGGCAGAGAGACAATTGAAGTTTCCAGCTCTGCTTCATATACTGCATGCCTGTTTGAGGAGTATGGAGCCTATAGTTCAACACATCTGAAGGCTACCAGTTTGGAAAAAAGGATGTATACCAAAAATTGCTCCTTAGAGAGATCATTTTTTTAGACTTATTCAATTTATGTGAATTCAATTTGTGACTATGTTCTAATTGCTTTATCGCCTATCCAACATTTCCTCCCTCCTATCTATCTTTCTTTCTGCAGATTTCAAGAAGAGGCAACACCAATGGGTTGGTCCAAATGCAGTAAACCAAAATGGTAAGATACCAACATTTAGTGTATAAAAAGAAGTCTGGTTAGAATCTACCTTTTTAACCTATTTGACATTGGTGTCTTGAAGACATACAGTATATTTATATGTTGACATCTTTGGAGCAAGATGCATCCTGCTTTGAGTCTCCTTATAGAGAGAAAAAGCAGGGTATAAATAAACATTATCATCATCATCATGTCTGGCAGAGATAGGTTTTACAAATAATACTAGCAATCAGATCATTACTAGTTGCCTACAAGGATTTTAAAACCATGTGTGCTAAGCAATTACATGTTCTATTACAGCCCAAACATGGCACACTATTACCATTTGACATCATCATTTTGTTAGCTCTATAAATCAGAGAGGGAAGAGTACACAACTGCAGTCTTTGTTTTTCCTGGAAACCCAGGATACATTAATTTTTTGAGTTAGGTGGAAAAGATATGCAGCTGGGGCCAAGAATTCTTTCTATCCCAATATGTTCTCCATCTCAGAAGTAAAATTTAGACAGGAAGGGAGCCATTTCATTATCACTATTATTAAACAACTGAGAATAAAAATCCTTGGAGGTCTGCTGCAAGTCATCCTAACATCTTCTGGTAGATTCAGATTTCCCTTGTTTATCCCCATAGTAAATGTCTCTTCTGATTGGATACAGATGTAATCTGATTATCACAATTCTACCATTTTATCTTTTAAAGGCAGCAGAAAAGGTGGGCATGGGTGTGTGCGAGAGCATGTTATGAGCTTTTACTCCCTCTCGTGGCAAGAAATAACCAGGCTAACATGATAGAGCCAGCCTTCTAAAGCACGGAGATAGATGTGATGTTAATTGTCTAATTGTAATCAACTAGTCATGGAGTTCAAAATCAGCATGACATGAATTGGATGAAAATTGCCTCCCCCATTTAATTGCAATTCACGTGTTCCATTTTTCTACAAAAGCTACCCTATGAGATGTTATGAATGAATACATCTTAAGGGTATCCTACGTGTCCTCAGCTAAGCAGAAAAATGTGATTATGTGATTAATCTTTGGCAAAGAGCAGCTTGTTTATGAATTTTGTAGCTTAAATTGTTGCATCACTGACAGGTAACTACGATAACATCTGACAATATACATTGGAATATTGTTTCTCTACAGAAAATGCCATTAATCTTGTAGTAAAATGAGATACACTTTGTCTTTTAGAGGTTATATATACCGAGCTACTTTCCAACTGGAATTTTTTCTACCATCATTGTTGCCAGTTTGGATTGAAAAACAGGGGAATGGCAGGTTCTTGAAAAATTTGAGTATCTATATTTAATTAAGCAATACTTACATCTTTTAGCTTAAAAAAGGCAGATTTGGGGGGAGAACAATGATTCTACACTGTCTTTTATTTAGTTTCATTCCATCGCAACAGCTCTGCCAGCTTCCACCCACATCAAGGCCAGGTTGTTCAGGAAGAAGACAACAGAGCCTTAAAGAAAACTTATCTCTCACCCTACGCAGGTAACATGGAATAGGAAGAGTATACAATCTGAATCACAATCTGTTATAAACGGTGTTGGATTACCCATATTGCTCCAAAACATCCAAACTCCACCGTAGTACAGATTGGCACTTCTGATATTAGTTAAATTTGCTACTCAAGTTACTGATATCAAGTAGGCCTGTGCGGTTTCGTTCGTTAATTCGTTAATTCGTTATTAATTCGTTATTTTTGGCATTTCCGA